CATTTCTGACAGCAACCACTTCTGATGAACATGAAATTACAAGTGCACAAAAGCAAATGACAACTTAACTATGCAAAATAACAAGAAGTGACAAGTTCTGATTTCTTTGACAGCAACAAGTTCTTTACAACATTCAATGACAAGTGCACATTAACTTACATCTTCCACTTAATGTCCCTTTGTCCCAAACATAGAAGTAACAAAAAATATATGTGCACATCTACTAACATCCTGCTCCCAAAAAAATTAAGAAGGATGAACCCTATATGTGCCAAAAAAATTAGTTGTCCCATTTGTAAGTGGAAGTCAACTTGGGTTAGGATTTTTGCATGTCCTCTTTGTATGTCCAGGATGAAGACATCTAGTGCAATGATATATTTTTTTGTTGTGGAATTGTGATTCCTTTCTATTTCTTCTTGGTCTTCCAGAAGGCCTAGCAGTGACTGGGGGTAAAAGCAAGGGTTGAGCAGTAAGATTCTCAAACGTATAGTCATTCAGGTGAGGCATATCAATTGTCACCACTGGAACCATGCTCCGGGCATAGATTTTTTCTTGGGATGAACGTTTGTAACACTCTTCAACATAATCATAAACGTTTCCCCCTATGGTCTTAATGGCTGCACAAGCATGTGAGCATGGAATCCCTAACATTTGCCAAGTTCCACAGCTACATTTGTGTAGGCCAAGGTCCACTCTTTGGTCTCCACGTGATGTGTGCACGCATATTCTTCCCCCTCCATAATTCTCACAGTGCATGTACCTACCGAAATACACATGCTCCAATACTTTTGCCTCTATTTTTGGCCCAACGCAATTACTCCACTTAGTCATTGCTGCATATGATGCATGCATCTTTCTTGCTACTTTCTCCCGGTGCTCATGGATCATTTGGGCCACGTTATGCTTCCTCTCCCTTACCATCCAAGCATTAAAAGATTCAGCTAAATTAGTTGTTATGTTGTCCCACCTTCTATATGGGAACTTGCTCAATGCCCACCTATCCACATCACCTTGATTGATAACCCACTCATATAACTCATGAGACATGGTTCTGAGATCATCCAGCGCATGATCAAACTCATCCGCAAGTCTTGCATAAGCCACTTTATCCAGTACCTTTAATGCATCTTCCTTTGAATTTTCACTTGTCCTTCTCCGACCTCTGTTTACTTTCATATATTCAGAGCTAAAGTTCTCCTTCACATGCCTATAACAGTATGCATGCCTTTCACCCCCAAATATTGCTTGCACAGCACCAATTATAGAATTATGTCTATCTGACACAATAGTCAGTTGCATTGAACCAACAATTTGTTTAATCTTGTGAAAAAACCACGTCCAGTCATCAAGATTCTCTCCCTTCACCACTGCTATTGCAAACGGCAACATCTCATTATCCGCATCATATGCCGAAGCTGACAGTAATGTCCCCTTATATGGACCACTTAAATGAGTACCATCAACATATAATATAGGCCTTGCACCGTTCAAAAAACCCTCAACACATGCACCGTATGCAATGAACACACGCTCAAATCTATTACCAATGGAGGCCCATTCAGCAACCGTTTTGTCATCAGTTTCCTTCAACCTTTCACATAACCATGGTATTAACATATAGGACTGTTCCGGTTTCCCATGTATTTCTTCCATTGCCTTTTCCTTTGCTCTATATGCCTGACAATATGTAAGCCTCACACCATACTCCCTCTCCAACATCTTCCTTATCTCAGTGGGCCGTTTTTCAGCATGGTCCCTTATCTCTTCAACTATTACTGATGATGTCAACGCAGCACTCCCACCATAAGTCACAATCAAATTGTCTTGGGCTGAATGAATGTGCTTATTGCAAAATGTAGTCACACGTAATAGATGACTGTTCTTTCCAACAGCATTTGCACATATCTTCCAAGGACACCCTTCTACTTTACACCTCACATTCATCTTCTCCTTACTATTCCTGATATATCTTGCTGCAAACTTCTCTGCAATACTGAACCTGTACACAGCTTCCCTAAAAGCAACAGCATGTGGAACATATTGGCCCACTCCTACAAACACTCCTGCCCATTTCGTACAATTCATCTCGCCCGTCAGTCTTCCCTGACTCTCTGAACCACTACACTTGCTTCTCTGACTTGATCCGCCTCCTTCAAAAGTTAGGCATTCAACTCCATTCTCAACATTCACTGGCTCATGTTCATCACCAATGGTCGTTTCAAATGTATTCATATCTTGTGAAAGTCCAAATAAATTCTCACTCCTGCCACCATAATACCAAGTTAGGACAGCTATATTCAAACGACAGGTTTGAATAAAATAACATGTCTACATATCTAAATAACAAGTCCGCATATGGTTATTACAACTTTACTAACTAAAATAACAAGTCTACATCTACAAACAATTCCTTGCTCAATTAACAAGTCCGTAAGAGGTAATTACAACTTGAGTTACTCATATAACAAGTTTCCATATAGAAACTACTGGTTAGTAAAATAACATCTACAGATCTAAATAACAAGTCCGTATATGATAATTATAACTTCAATACGTTGAATTACAAGTCTACATATGGAAATCTCTGCTTATGTCTAATAACAAGTCTGCATTTCTAAAACACAAGTTTACAAATGGAAATGACATGTCCACTATGTTCAATAACATGCTTGCATTTACTAATTACAATTTAGGACTGCAGCACCATTAGCTTCATTACAATATTTCTATACGAATTACCAACAATATATTAGTAAATAACAAGATTCAATTGGAAAACATAACCACTTACACGTCTGGATCATTCCTTGCTCTACGTTCCCTATCATTCCCTTTCCCTCCTACATACACATGACCACTGCTGTCATTATATCTAAACAAGTTGCTGATATCACCATCATCACAAAGATCAATCAATGTACTCTCATCAAATTTAACTTTATACTTAATCTCATATCCACCACCATCATTGCCTATCCACTGTGAAATTATTCCACACAACTCGTCTACTGTTATCCATTCTTTTATACTGGTTACCCTTACACTCCCTCCAATATATTTAACTATCCCTTCACCATTTGCTTCAAAATGTCCACCAATGTGCACGTAACAGAACAACTCCTTCCCACAGCTTCTTCGGTTATTGAAATCCATTTTTCATACTAATCTGCAGCAAAAATTTACGTTTAGTCAGTACGTTAGCTTCACTAATAAATATTTACTCATTTATTCCATCGACTCAACCATTTACATACCAAATTAAAAACCCGTGACCTCCTGTCTTCCCAACATCACTTTAGGCCTTCACAACTTCACTTTAGGGCTTCACAACTTCACTTTAGGGCTTGACGACTTCAACACCGAAAATCATGGTATCGTCATTCCCTCATTCCGCGGCAACACCTCAACGTTCACGGTCAAACTAACGGCCATTATCCAACCTACACTCTGCCAAACCACTACACTCTGACCCCTTCCCCATCGCAACCAGCACCGTGCACTACAAATGACAGATGACCGTTCAGACTACGAAAACAAAAATATCCCACCTCCAACTAACCACAACCTCCTACATTGTCATATCTTTCATCTTCAACTACACCTCCCATTCCCTCCCTTCCTCCAGCCTACTCACCCACACAGCAGAGATGAAGATGGAGAATGTGACGATGTGTAACTCTTACAGGGAACAATACAAGAAGGGTTTACTCAGTAAGTTAGTCGCATTATTGCCAATGTTCGAAGATCCCAATATCGCACATATTCGTTCGGCTCATCCTACTCCACCAGCTCTCCCGCCACCCAAATCCTGGTCTCTGCCTTCATTAACAGTCATGATGAGTGAGGGGCATTTCAGCCATTTTCCTTACATTTCATAATTGCAAATTGGGACCGGGTCCTCTGCAGCAATTTCTCAAATTGGGGGTCCCTGATTGCTATTTTATATATTGGGGGGTCTTTATTTGCAATTTTCCCCAAAATTATATTTAAAAAAACTAAAATATCCTCACAAAAAGACAAATTAGCCTAAAAGTAAATTTTAAGAAGGCAGTAAAATAGCCAATCAGTATGATTCATCAAAATCATCATTATATTAATGAACATCCGATTTTTCAAATATTCACACGCGGGCATTCGTGCGCGGATGTTTTTCCCATAAAAATTTAAACTTCTGCGGAGCAGAAGTCCCGACTTCACTTCATCACCAACAGCCTATGCCACTAGACACCCCGCCCTTCGCCAGAGACATAATTGCCGCCAACGCCACTGTACCCAGCAGCAGCAGCAAATTCAATTTCTTCGTCGACGAACAAGCATTCTTCACTTGGTCGAGCTCGCCGTCGGACGCCTTCCACCGTTATCAGTCCTACGTGGTTATCCTCAGATAACTATTGAAGAAGGTACGAACCCTTGGGCTTTATCTTCTCCCAAAATGCGGTGATATTGATTTGTTCAATCCAAGCTTTGAATCTATATTTGAATTAGTTCCCCGCACCATCTGTTCCTGCGAGGTTGTCAACCCTGCGTCGGACGCCGTCGCTCTCCTGCTTTGCTTTTTTGTTTTCATTTTAATCAATTGGAAGATCATAAATCGCAAGAGTGTTATCATTGTCATTCTTCAGTAGCTTGGAGGAGTCGCCTAAATCAGTTGGCTTACTAAGGCATCTTCGTTAAATCCTGGAACAGAAGTTAAAAGGGCATGATATTAACTCCGCATATTTCAAAGGTTTCAATAGTGTTTGGTTCGGCCGAGGGAGGGAAGGGAGGGATTTTAATGGAAGGAAAGGAAGGCACGGTTTGAAGAGAACAGGATTATTGGCATGCAGAGAGTGAACAAATGAAGAACAAGAATGAAGGACTGGTACTGAAGAATGGACAGATGCTGTCATGTAGATTAGAAGAACAAGAATGGACCAAAAAAGGATGATTTAGCCCAGATGAAGAACAAGAATCAAGAACACAAGAATGATCGGATCCAGAGAACGAACTCAGACACTCACCTGGATGGACCGAATACGGCGACCAGAGTGAGTGACAGAGCCAGGCGATGGAGGCAGCTGCAGAACCAGGGGACGCCCGTGACGAGACGACTGGAGGAGGAAATGCGACCAAGCACAGCCGCGGGTGACGAGAATGATCGAAAGGGGTTTTCAAAGACTGAAGGGTAACACTGGAATATTAAAAATATGGCATGGATAATTTTGTCACGATCGGAGAATATTTTCTCTCGCCCATTTTTTTTTTTGATAACAAAAGGAGACCTTAGCTAACACCTACGTGATTGCCGTTGTTAAGAGAGCAATCTGTTTCCAAAAGTTCAGCCAGTACACGATGTGGTTCATAAACCATGTGAAATCCCAGCAAACCTCCTAGACCGAGCTTCGCCAGGTGATCAGCCGCAGCGTTGCATGCTCGAGGTGTGTGTGATAGTCGAACCTCCCAATTTCTATCCATGAGGGACTTAATCGCACAGATGAGGTATAGTCCGCATGGCTCTCCTGGGTTCAGTAGATAAGAGCTCTATTACAGTCGAGGCATCTGATTCTAAGATAATTCTTCGATGTCCGTCATCCCATGCAACTTTGAGTCCATGCAGACAGCTCCACAACTCAGCCGAAAGAGCATCTCCATTGTCCATCCGACAGACAAAGCCTTTGAGGAACTCGCCCTTTTCATTTCGTAATAACCCTCCACAAGCATTAGAGTGCATCGAGTGAGAAAAGGCACCATCTACATTTACCTTGATCCAACTAGCTTCAGGTGGTTTCCAGTTTGTTGTAACAGCTCCACGTTGCACTCCTGGTTTGTTGTAACAGCTCCACGTTGCAAGCCCCTTCAAAAGAACCTGCATCTCACGTATGCCCATTACTATTGCTGAAGCGTTCGCTATGAGTACATCATTATGAAGCTTTTTCCCTTCAAAGATGATCAGGTTACGGCGTCGCCATATCCACCAACACAATACAGAGAATAGGCTCCCCCACTCCATGTTTTTCCGTCTTTTCTAGTAATATTCCACCGGACCCAATCAGGAAAATCTAACGTACAGAACTTCTTCCATGCAGTAGGGTGAACTAGTTTTTTCCAAAGCGCTCGCGTGTCATTGCACTCTCGCAGCACGTGTAGCAGGTCTTCCACCTCCTTCTTACAAACTGGGCACCTGTCATCATTACTCAGTCCTCGTTTCTTCCGAGCTGCATTCGTGAGGAGAGCTTTACGAGATGCTAGCCAAGTAAAAGTTCTGCACCGTTGGGGTATTCGTAGTTTCCATATTCGCCCCCAAGAAGCATCACTCGTTGCATCACTTCGGCTCAATTGATCATAAGCGGATTTCACAGTGAAATTACCACTACGCTCCCACTTCCATCGTATGCTAGGATTCCTCGCAGTACTGTCAATACCTTCCTCAACCTTATCCCATATCTTCTTGATGCCCGACCAGATGTTCGATCCCCTCCGCTTATAGTCAATGGTTGGCATTAGGTCATTTCCACATCTATACTTATCACGAACGATTTTAACCCATAGATCGTCACGACATTTCGCGAGTTTCCATCCTAGTTTCATGAGCATTGCGTGGTTCTGGAGGGTGGCATGCCTCAGTCCTAGGCCACCACTTGTCTTACTTCTACAGACTGAATCCCAGGCGACCAAGGAAGTCTTCCTCTTGTCAGGTGTACTCCCCCACAGAAATCCTCGATTAAGTTTATCAAGAGTTTCACAAACTGAGAGGGCAGCAGTGTAGTGTTTGCATGACATAGTTGGGGATAGCGGCAGTCACGGAGGAAATCAGTGTTGATCGCCCTGCTAACGAGATGGAATTAACTTTCCATTTGGATAATCTCTCTTTGACCTTGTCCACAGTTGCTTGAAAAGTCTCCTTGGTGGCCTTTTTGTGGATGCAAGGGGACACCCAAATATTTACCCAGATTAGATGTTTGAGTAAATCCCAAGGACCTGCTAATCTCAGAGCACCTCGTATGATTGATGTTAGAAGAGAAGCATATGTGGGTTTTAGCGAGATTGACCTTTAGACCTGAACTCCAGCAGAAAGATTGGAGACAATTATTTATCAGTTCAGCTTGTTGTAGAGAAGCTTCCGCAAACAGAAGGATATCATCCGCAAAGAATAAGTGAGAAAGTGGGGGGCCATTTTTTGTAAGCCTGATTGGTTTCCACTCTCCCCGCTCCACCCTTTCTTGAATCATATGAGCTAATTTCTCCATACAAATGACGAATAAGTAAGGGGAGATTGGGTCTCCTTGACGTACTCCTCTAGAAGATTTGAAGGACTCCGCTTTGCTTCCATTCCAAAGGAGTTGTAAGTCAGCCGTGGTAACACACGACTTAATAACTTCCATAAAATGTTCTGGTAAATTCAATTCAGTCAAGCAATTCTTCATGAAATTCCAATTAACTCGGTCATAAGCTTTTTCCAGATCAATCTTAATTGCCAAAAAACCTTTCTTCCCACGCATGGTGCGCATAGAATGAATGACCTCCTGTGCAATAATAATATTATCAGAACTGTGACGCCCCGGGACAAATCCACACTGATTAGGGGAGATGATTTGATGCATAAAATTTTTCAATCTATTTGCTAGTATCTTCGTCACCACCTTATAGACCACATTGCATAGGCTTATAGGGCGGAGGTCTCTGAAGTTCTCAGGTGGATCTTTTTTAGGGATAAGTACAATCAGCGTTCCGTTCACCTCTTCAATAGATTGGGGGTTTGCAAAAAGACTCTTGACAAACCTTAAGAACATAGGGCCGACAGTATCCCACTGATGTTGAAAGAATAACGCATTAAATCCATCTGGTCCTGGAGATTTTAGGGGCCCCATACTAAATAAAGCATTTTTTATTTCATCGTCCTCAACATCTCGGGCACAACATCTCAGATATACATCATCCACGGCCGGGTAGGAAATTCCGCAAGAGATACTTTCTCTAATCATGTTGTCTTCTTTGAAAAGGGAGGCGAAAAACAACGTTGCCTCTTGTTTAATTTCTTTAATATTATAGCACCAATTGCCCTCTTCAAGGCAAATAGCATCTATTCGGTTGGCCTTTCTCCGTCCGTTGGCATAACAATGAAAAAGCTTGGTGTTCCTGTCTCCATATATATTCCAATCTAGTCTCGCTTTTTGAGCCCACAAAAGGGACTCTTGAGCAAGGACGCCTTCAAGTTCCTTCCAGAGCTCAGTTTGTAGTTCCTCATAATAGCTTGTGTTAGAGCCACGAGCAAGAGCCTTATTCACCCCATCAAGTCTTTTCAATAGTTTAGTTTTCCGCCCTTGGATATGCCCAAATACATCTCTATTCCACCCTCTACAAGCTTCGGTGAATTGTGTGATATTAGCTTCCAATCCATCTCATTCTTCCATGCTTCTTTAACAAAATCATTAAACTATCATGTAATACCCATGACGCAATGAAGCGGAACGGTCGCTGAGGTTGTTCCCTACACAGATCAAGACGAAGTAGAATGGGGCGATGGTCAGATTTATAGCAAGGGAGATGGGTTACCTTTGCATGAGGGAAAAGTCGACACCAGTCATCATTAGCTAAGTAACGATCCAAGCGAGCTTCTGTGGTTCCTCGTTTCCAAGTAAATTGTGGCCCACTGAAGCCCAAATCCTCCACACTGCTATCTTCGTACCAAATATAGAAGTCTCGATCAGCCGAGATTTTGTTAATAGCAGAAGACTTCCTTTCAGACGCAAATAACGTTGCATTGAAGTCACCCCCAAGAATCCATGGGGCCTGTGTGGCGCTTTCAAGTCGTTGCAATTCACTCCAGAGGCTGCGTCTTGCCATAATATTAGGACAAGCATAGATAATAGTCATAACCCAAACTTCATGACGGCTGTTTTCTAATTTCAAGTGTATGAATTGTCGGTGTCTTTGGAGGACCTCCACTCTGCGTATCCCAGCATTCCATAGGCACCAGATCCCACCACTATAACCTTCAGACTCAATAAAAGTAAATGCTTGGAAGCCAAGACGGTGAATTCGTTTCTCAGTGGTGATTGTATCAGAACGAGTTTCGACTAGCGCAAGAAAGTCAAGCTGATAGTGATTCTTCAGATCCTGGACCAGGTTCGGAAATGTCTTCGCACCTGTCCCTCTTGAATTCCAAATCATGAAATTCATAAAGAAACTAAAGGGGAGTTCTGTGCTACTTTCGTGTCTAGCACCTGGACATTATCCAACGTCATCCTCATTGTTGCACCGCCGCTATTCGAGCTCGTATGGTGTTATTGGGGTTTGACTCGTCGTTTCCACCCACGTGCGGCATATCCTTTGCACTAAGTTGAGTCGATTCAGGGGTTTGCATGATGTCCATGCAATCTGAGCTTTGCCCACACGAGTTCTTTTCTAGATGAAGTGTCATTGGTTCCTGATCGGGTGGTTCCCTTTGAAGCAGCGCGAAAGAGTTGGTAGAGGTGCTGGGTTTGTCTTTTAGCTCCAGCCCATGATTCACTTTCGAGTTGAGCCTATTTTCTTTACCTCGTGACTTGGGCTTCTCATTAGTCTTTCGTTTTGAGCCCACCTTAACCCAAGTAGCAGAATTAATAATATCTTTCCCAAAATTCCTTTTCAACGTAGGTCCCACATGTGCGACTTTGTCACTTTTATCCGTTGGGGATCCCACAGATTTCGTCTCTATCTTCGGCTCATCCTTTGCTATTATCCTGTGCTGATTTTTTGCGTTATTTCCCATTGCAAATCCCTTTTTATCCGCTCCAATAACTCCCCTCCGAAAATCTCGTTTCACTAGCATCTGCGGCCCTAAGTGGTTGGTGGTCGTCGCCGTCACGGTGTTCCTCACGGATCGTTGTTCCAATCCAGGCGGGCTATCCTTCCGAGCAGCCTGATCCCCAGAAGACGTTACTTGCTCGCTCTCTTTCTTGTTTGCTTCATCCGACAAAGAGCCTCCCTCATCTGGGGAAGTGATAATCTCAGGACAGCCGTGTTGTTCATGACCGTATCTCCCACAATGAAAACAGACCTGATGGAGCCCTTCATATACTATCTGTCGATCTTCTCCCCAGGCCGTGAAGGCAGGCAATAAGGGTTTTTGCAAGTCAATTTCCACGCATATCCGGGCAAAGCCTCCCTTATCATATATGGATGTGGACCTGTCCACTTTAATTGTACGTCCCACCATGTTTCCAATAATCCCCAACGATTCCACATTATAGAATTCCATCGGAAGGTCTGGTATTCGAATCCAAGCCGCAATGCGTCTCTGGGTATCAGCCTTCCACGGGTTAAAATTAGGCCTCCACCGTTGCACCAGCAAATAATGATCATCAATCATCCAAGGTCCCTCCTGAAACGCAAAATCTCGGTCTTCCCTACTAGTGAATGAAATGATGTAATAATCATTACTGAGCGGAGTAACCTTCATTGGGTGTTGCGGTTTCCACATTCGTCTTACTCTATCAATGAGAATATGTCTTGGAACTTGTATACCCAGGAGCTTAATTATCAGCGAATTCATCCAAGGTTGGCACCACGCCGTGTATTGTTCGGTCGACACAGAAAGCACTGGGTATTTCTGCTTCCCTGCATGGTCTTCAATTTCCTCCCCATCTGAATCTTCCTTTCTTTTACTCGAGTTAGCCTCAGCATTCATTTTTGCATAGAAGCCCTTCCACCCATTTACGATGTCTTCATTCCCATCATGATTCACAAGGTATCCCCCACAACCTAGGGAGAGAAGCTTTTCCTTATATGACGAGGAGTTGTTTCTCCGATCTTCATTGATAGGCATTTTGCTCCTCTTTATTCCCTCTCCTATCCCTCCACTACCAAAGACAAAAGGCATAGGCCCCTTGTTCTGATCCGGCCCCTGGTTCCCAGCATGACCTCCGCCATCTTCACCAGTCTCTTTACCTCCATCACCGCCATCTTCACAAGAAGCCATTTCTCTCGCCCATTTTCGGGGGAGAGCAAAGGGGACTGAACCAAACGCGCTTTTCCTCCCCCAAACCTCACTTTCCCTCCAAAAAAAAAAATTCAACCAAACAATGGGCAAGTGTAATGTAGGTCCGCCTATGGTTAGTTCTCACTTTTCAGCTGTCTTTCAGGTCTCTACGATTTGCATACGGATATGAAGGATTTGCAATTTAGCTACAAAGCTTCAACTATTGCAACACCGCCCCATATGACACAATCCGGTATATGTCTCTTTTAACAAAGGAAAGATTATTAATCCACTTATTTTCTGGCCCCGAAGATTGAAAGAGTCATAAAGCTGTTTGCCGCTCTTTGCTCTTCATCTTTATTTGACTTCTGATTGTTCTGAATCTGTTGCTTTTAAACTTTCTCTTTGGCTAAACTAAGATCATGACTACGTATGTGTGTTTGGATGGGGTTAATTCCTGAGGGACCTGCATCCTGTCATGTTTAGTGACAGAGTTTATAGCACTTACCTGAGATTTGCAATATATATATATGTGTGTGTGTGTGTGTGTGTGTAGACAGACACACAAGATTACCACTTAGCAATGTTAAAACACCAAAAATTTGGGTCTCAGTCTGTCCAAAATAGAGGCACTCTCTCTCTCTCGGATATTCGCGAACAATCATGTACACGCACGGGAACGAGTGGGAGAGTTGCCCAGCACATAAGAGTAATAGAAATTAAAAAAGAAAAACTGGACACTATAATAACCATTAACTACATGATTTTGAATTGAAACCTTTTACATAACAGGTAAATGACAATGCATCTATTCTCCGTCAGTTGGTTTAGAAAAACAAGACGCAGAACTTCTTATCATTTCCAGATTGATCAAGGTTGCTTTCAAAAAATTTTTATAAAGTGTTTTAGCTTGTCTCTTTTCCGGAATGAAGTTTATCTGTACTTCCTTCGAACTTGGAAGGAAAATAAATGCGAAAGGTGAACAGTGTGTAATTTCTTGGTTGCATGCATTCTGTTTATTAGGATTAAGATTACAATTCAAATCATCTTTACTGAAGATCCTGTGCTTCCAACTTTCAACGGAGTGCTTTCCTTACTAAAATGAGGGAAACGGAATGGGATTCTTGCTATTCATTTGTATGCATTCATGGATTTGTTCATTGTCTTCATGGTGTAATATGAAACTACCTCTTCTGCTTAGCCCTTTTTTCACCCTGATGCTTTTGATGCATATCACATACGCTCCGATCCTTAACTGAAGTTGTCTTCACCCTGTCCTCTACAGCGGTAGATTGATGCTGATATTCATTAAATTTTTTAATTTTAAAGCTCTACAGAATGCTTCAGAGTTCAAATATTGATTCGAGCATTTTTCATATGTCCATCGTTAATCTTACTGCAGGTAGCATTGGAGTCTGTTTGATGAGAAACACTTGGAAAGAGGAACAGCACCCATCTTCCATCAATTTTATCTCCACTTTCCTCAGCGCAAATTCTTTTCGCCTTAATTTTGTCCCAATTGCCCCGGTAACGGCCAATTCTTTGTTGAGTTTCTCCCCCTTGTTTCAACACTGGTTCATCCCTGAAATTTGAGGAGTTTTCCTGTAGGACTTTATTTTCAATTGTGGCGGTTTGTCTGTTGCCTTCATTTTTGTGACAAGTTGGGATCAAAACAACGCGTCTCCAATCTTCAGCAGGTGATGAGACTGCAAAACTTGGAGTTTTTACTTCTCCGTGAGAGTTTAGAGCTACATGTCTGATTTCCCATGCAGAATTCAGAAACTCAAGATGCAATTCGCACGTTTTTATGTCGTCATCATCCTCCCAGAGAAGGAGCAAATTGAATCATTTTTTCGAGCATACTTCAAGTGAGTTCCGAAATATATTGCTACAATTGACCATGGTTTTACTATGGCTTTAGTGTCCATTTGAATAAACGTGATTTTAAAAAAGTCTGGCTAAATGCGATTTCTATCTGGAGATTTTTTTTCCCCCCAAATAAGTGATTTTGGTAGAAATAATTTTGTTCTGATTCTATATATTTTAACTATTTTTGGATATGTGATTACCAAAAAGGATATGATATGATAGTTACACTTTGAGGATTGTTAGAGAGATTTGGTTAGATTTTATATTTTGATGTTAAATTTTTTAATTCGAAATACAACGAATATAAATAATAATTATTAAATTATATTTTTAAAAAATTATTCTAAAATTAAAATTAAAATAATTATAATTACATATTAATTTTTTAATTTTTAAATTTTAAAATTTACCGGCAAAATAAAGGAGTACACTTTTACCAAATCCTGGCGTGGTCTTAGAGGGTAAATGAGGCTTTATCCCAGAAGGGGGGGACATGGAAGTAAAATCAAACAGTATTTTTTTAATATGAAAAAACCAGGCAGTGTTAAACCAAACAAGCTCCTAATTATGATATAACTATCATGGGATGGCTGGTGGGAATTTGAAGATTCGATATGGTGATTGCCAAGCCAACTTTTGTGCCAGTTCAAGACTTGGAGATGGGCTTTGAAAAGATGGTCAAAGTAGCTCATGCTTTGGGAGGTTTGATCTCATTACCGGAACTAATCACGGTGTGTTGATCCAATTTATATTTGTATTTCTTATTTCTTATTTCATGCATGGCAAACGGAGTGCAGTGTGCAAGCAGCAGAAAATTATAGAAAAATTGAAGGCTGAGGTCAGTTGCACTTGCCCGACTCATTTACTTAACGGAAGTCCGTAACTATCAGGCTATCAGCTGATGTCTGACTCTTCTGTTTGTTCATGAAGAGGAGGCAATTAGTACAAGGAATGGACCAATACCTTAAAGTGATTACATCAATTCCCGGCATTGACAGTCATGATGCAAATGCGGTAAATATCTAACTTATCCCACTTTGCTAAAGCGCAGGACTCTTGGTTAAGTAGAGTTATCGAACTTGCTTAGGATGGTGCAAAAATCACAGATTGCTTTCTTTTTGAAACCGATATTCGCAACCAGGAGACAAGGTTATGTTATCACTGATTAAATCGTACTTAGTCATAGATTAGACCTTCAGTTGTTTTCCTATTTCTTATTCTGGTCGCTCGATTCAGCTTTGTCAAGCCATTGGTTCTGTCCAAGCAATTGCCAAAGCATCAAAAGAGCAAATTCTAGAGAACACGGATCTTTCAACTGACAAGGCCGAGATTATTTCCAGGTTTTTTAGGGACCCAACATTTTACTCCAGTCCCAAAATCAACTAATAACTACGGGCTTAAAGTTAGTGTTAGTGTTTTTTTGTTTTTCGCTTTTAGCTTTTGGGTGATCAGCCAGTGTTTTTCACCCCATTAATATATAATAATTGACTGTCGGCACTGTTTATATGTAGGAAGGGTCACGCGGTCGTCATCAGTCAACTCAAATATCCATAGACTTTTGCAGATCATAATTCCAGCCTTCCACTTGTTGGCTGACATGAATCATGAGCAAAATAGCATCTGTTCATAACGTTTTGCCTCTTGTGACTATGCAGCTCTTCGTAGTTTCTTAAGTCGTAATTTGAGGTTTGTTGGTTGGACGAAATTTTGCTTGGGCTTGTCTCGTACAGTGTTCAGTTTGATGGAGTGGATGGTGGATATTGGAGAGATTTTAATGATTCTTCCAAACCGCTTACTTTTAAAGGAGAGGGGGAGGAAATTCTATTAATACGATATTTGCTTCATTAGGCAGGGGTGATGGGAAATTTCGTCAAGGGAAATCAGGGAAGAAGATGAGGGTTTTGTAATTATCAATAAATAATTGTTAACAATAAATCAATACAAAATTTAAATGATAGAAAGATAATTATATAAAATATCATATAAAAATATATCACCAGTATTTTGCTTTCTTCATGTCAATGGCCAATGGCCATCCTAGAGGGAGTTTGAGGTTTAATAACAACGTTACGGCACAAATCCAAACCAATAAATTATATTACTTTTAGTCTTATTTATAAGAGTTAGTTAACTAATTTGAAGAGATTAAAGAAAAAAGTTAAGTTAGTTATTTGTAATAAATAGGTGTTGTTTTTTAAAATATCCTTACTAATCAAGTATATTGGTTAGAACTACTATTGTTAAAAGAATTATATTGAAAAAAATACATAAATATGATGGATAAAGTAGATTAGGATTTTATATTTAGAATTAAAATAAAAGTTAAATAAGGTTTTGTATTAAAAATCAAAGGTAGTAAAACCCTTCATCTTGGTCAACTATCCTTCTTAGGAGTATTTAAATGGAAATCAAACTATGATTTTAAAAATAATTTTATAATATACAAAATAAATATGTGAATAAGTTTATTTTGATTTGTAGAAAAGTAATTTTAAAAAGCATTTTTAATGTTAAACAAGAACTATTAATTTTGATTCACATTTTCAAAATTCAAATTACAAAATATCACTATCCTTGATATTTAGTACTATTTATGATTCTTAATATAAGAGCTAATTTAACTTTTAATTTAGTTTTAAATAAGATATTCTAATCAATTTTGTTTCTCATATTTATTTCTTTATTTTAAAATAGTCTTTATAGTAATTCTTTAGTTAATGCATATGATTAACACGGGTATTTTAAAAAAGATAATACATATTTATTACAAATAATCAACTTAATAAATTTTTTTAATTTACTTAAATTAATAGTAACTACTTTTTTCGGTAGAGTTTCACTACCCGGGCTTTATCGATTTATAGTGCAAAGAATTAGAGAATGACAAAAAGAAAAAAAAACGATATAAAATTTATTAATCAGTCATTTATATGCTCGTCTAATTTCTAAAATTATTCTTAAATATTTGAATATTGAGATCAAAATGGATTCCTATAAAAGTGATTGCGATGTTTGATCCAAAAGGAGAGCAACAAAATATTTGCATGGACAATGATATAAGGGGAAATTACAATCAAGTCCCATAGAAAAAAAATAATTACTAAAATGTCTTAATAACAATCTCAATAGTTTATAATGACAAGTTCTATAGTGAAAATGACAACCTCTGAGACTTGTTTTTCAATTGTATTCCTTACTTAAAACCTCATTGTAATTCTCTTATGATATAACAACGTCATGAAAATATTAGACCCACACTAACGAGGTCAAACAACATAAATTTTTATACTTTTAAGTAAGTATAACCACACCACCGGTAAAAGAGTTTATGAATAAGTATAATCACATTATAGTATAATACTACTTTCGATCCTAATTATAAGAGCTAGTTAACTAATTTGAGGAGATTAAAGAAGTAAGTTGAGTTAGTTATTTGTCCTAAATAGATGTTGTCTTTCCTAAAATATCCTTGCTAATTAAGTGTATTGGCTAGAATTACCATTGTTAAAAGAATTACTCTGAAAAAAAAAAGTATAAATATGAGAGACAAAGTGGATTGTGTTCTTATATTTATAACTAAAATAAAAATCAAACAAGATTTTATATTAAGGAGCGGAGGTAGTATAACAATAATTATCAAACATCATCAAAAATTATAATTATAATTATATTAATAACGGATATTAAGCACTGTTGGCTAAATAATAAGGAAACAAACTAACGATAGGATATAAACAAGGGAAAATTTCACTGTAGGACCGCACAAGACAATTAATTTCAAAGAGCCCCCAAAACTTTCTGAAATCTCACTGTAGGACCAAGGGGCCAATTTGATATTAATTTCACAAACGAAATGACGCCACTACCCTTAGCATCAGGTGAACCAGTCCACATGTGAACGGACTAATTCCACGTGTGAATATATGTATTTATTCTGCAAATTGGCTAGTTCCTCTTGCAAATGCGCTCTCCCGCACTTGTTTCCTCACGAACGCATGCATCAGGTGAACCAGTCCACATGTGAACGGACTGATTTCACGTGTGAATATATGTATTTCATCTGCAAATTAGCTAGTTCCCCTTGTAAATCTCCCGCACTTGTTTCCTCACGGACGCATGCATCAGGTGAACCAGTCCACATGTGAACGGACTGATTTCACGTGTGAATATATGTATTTCATCTGCAAATTAGCTAGTTTCCCTTACAAATGCGCTCTCCCGCACTTGTTCCCTCACGGACGCATTCATCAGGTGAACCAGTCCACATGTAAACGGACTGATTCCACGTGTGAACATATGTATTTATTCTGCAAATTGGCTAGTTCCCCTTGCAAATACACTCTCTCGCACTTGTTCCCTTCTACTAGGGGCAGTGTCGTCATTTCGTTTGTGGAATTAATATCAGATTGGCCCCTTGGTCCTGCAGTGAAGTTTCAGAAAGTTTTGGGGGCTCTTTGAGATTAATTGTCTTGTGCGGTCCTACAGTGAAATTTTCCCTAAACAATGACATAAGATTTTATTTCCCGTATTTATTCTTTTTCTGCCTATATTTTAATAATCGGGCTAGATTGATTGTACTATTTTCCAAGAGCTCTTCCATTTTAGATTATTCTGGTTCAGCATCAATGCCAGAGCCTCACAAATGCTTTATACAAATAAAAAAGCTTTTTACCGCTTGGAGGAGAATAAAATATTGAAGCAAAATGGCCCCATCACCTTAATAAATGCTGTTTCATAGGTCAAAAGTCAAAAACTTTATTTGCATTAACTACCCTATCAAAAAATTTAATTGAGGTCAAAATTAAGATACGAAAATGTGATTTACTTTCGATAAAAAGGGTTGACAATTTCAATTATCGTGATCATTTAAATTTAAATCTAACTAATCGCAGGATATATACAGATAAAAATTGTAAAACCCGCTTATTTTTATAATAACTCTGAAAAAAACTGTGTACAGGATTAATTTAAAATAAAAAAGGAAGCGAATACAATCAGGCAAGAGAGAACATTCCTAGTCCTATTCCTATTCTGAGCAAGCCAGCTTTTAATTTGCAGTATAGGTGTTTCGTTTCAACTGACCCTTGCTTTTTGCGCCGTCCAGTCGCGCCTGACCTGTTTTTGGTTCCTAGTGCAAAACAGTTTAAGAGTTAATATATGTTCATGCACGCACTTGATTTTTATTTCGCTCATTAATAATAATTCTGAATATATATGCATATATAATTACATTGCTTCCACAGATTTCGACGTAGAGTGATCCCTGCAAGAGATGGCCGCCGGAGATCCTAGCCCTGCGGTAGTTCCCAAGGAATACGAGGAAGAAGACGATATGTTGAAGGGAGAAGAGGCGTTCAAGACCACCAAGGTGCCGCCATGGCGGAAGCAGATAACGCTTAGGTCTCTGGTGACGAGTTTTGTGCTCAGCATCGTCTTCAACTTCATTGTCTGCAAACTCAACCTCACCACCGGCGTCATTCCGTCCCTCAATGTCGCCGCCGGCTTGTTAGGCTTCGCCGTCTTGAAGTCCTACACTGCGCTTCTCTCCAAGTTCGGCCTCCTCAAACAGCCCTTCACTCGCCAGGAGAACACTGTTATCCAGACCTGCGTCGTTGCCTCCTCCGGCATCGCCTTTAGCGGTCCGTATCTTCGTTTCTCTGCCTTGCTCCCTTTATTAGTTTTATGTCTCTCTCCGCATTCTATCTGTGTATAATCAATTTCTCCGCGGCTTAGATTCTCTAGATTTCTTAATTTCTGAAAACGTTTCACTTGATCATCGCATGTTTTTCATATGTATGTCACGGTTAGCGCAGTGTGCGTCAATTTCAAAACATCAAAAAGATCTATGTTTGATGTATACAACAATTTAGTTGATTGCCAAGATAAATAGGATTTCATTCAGGCAATTAAGTAACCTATTCTTCGTGTGATATGAATGTACTTATGGCTTCTGAATACAAAAATGACGAACGCACGCAATTACTTACTATGGATTTTATTACGTGCATTGAGACTTACTTGATTGATTTCTTAACTTCAGAAAATGATATGCGTCACTCTTTCAAAGTTACAATTATATATGAACATGATGGGTTATTTAAAGGAAAACAAAACAATCTTAGTTGAGGCTATCATTTGTGTGTGTGTCTCTCTCTCTTTCGTTAAGAGCATTCAAATTTGATATACATTCATTTTGGCTATCCAATTTTTTTTTAGTTTAATATCGGAGTTGTAAAAATTAAAGGTGGCACGGCAAGTTACATACTTGGGATGAGTCCATATATTGCGGCTCAAGGAGGTGCAGCACAGAATACGCCAATCAATACAAAGACTATCAGCCTTGGTTGGATGTTTGGTTTCCTCTTTGCCGTTAGCTTTGTTGGCTTGTTCTCCATTGTCCCTCTACGAAAGGTTTGTGCTATTTTATATATACCAGAAACAAACAATATAATTCTCTGACAGTTTTTAATAAAACTAGAGACTTCTCTATTTCTTGGATATTATAGTTTAATACGAAAGGTATTGTTGAATTGACTAAATAGTACAACTTGCAATAAATTTTACATTTTACATTGACATTGATTTACCTGTTTGCCTGTAAAAAGTTTTGAAGTGCTAGAATTGGAATATTAAAAAGCATGGCGACTTTTTAAAATTAACATTGAATTGGGTACTTTTCCCAGATGATGATTTTGAAGTACAAGCTCACGTATCCAAGTGGAACTGCCACAGCTCTTCTCATCAATAGCTTCCACACTCCAAAAGGAGCAAAGCTAGCAAAGTAAGTTCATAAAGAAGAAACTTCATTGTAATAAAAACGAATTATAAGAAGTTTATTCATTTGAGTCATCCAGTTATTTGATATCACTAGCATAAACATTAATCCTGTCAAT